AATGTATGTTTGATGTGTGTTGAATGTATAAGAGTCATGGATATTTAGTAGTTGTGAGACTAATCATAGTTAATAATTATATATAATTTATAGATGAGGATAATTCCTGACAAATCATGGATAGATATCCTATGGCTTCATAGATTTCGTGACACGTGATACAATGAGGGATGTGACGCCTTCATGTGTTATGCTAAAATGAATCCAAGAAATTTAAGAAGCGGTGCTATGCATTGTTGTAGGTGTAGGAATATGAAGCTGCTTAATAGAAATGATATACGGATCCACCGAATGAAATCAGGTTTTGATAAAAAATATAAATATTAGAACTGGCATGGGGAAGGTATCACTAAAGATGAGGATCCAAATGTGCGTGTTGGTACGTCCTGTGGCCAATGAATAGATGACACAGAAACAATGTTGAATGATATTTTTTCTCGACCTACAGAATATGATGTTGATGATAATGTCGAGGATGATATCAGAGATAAAAGTGAAGATGATATCGAAGTTGAAGCTAAAGAGGTAGGAGATGTTGAAAGTACCGAAAATATTGATGGTATGCATTCCTCCGCAGAAATAAAGTGAATAATGGAGCTAATAGAAGATAGTGAAAATGACTTATATGAGGGATGTACCGAGTACTCCAGATTTTTATTTATGCTGAAACTCCTACATATTAAGACACTTAGCGGTATGTCAGATAATTATTCTAAAATGCTTCTTGATTTGCTTCGGACTGTAATTCCTGGAGGAGAGAATAGTATACCCCAAACAACTTATCAAACTGAGAAGATTGTCTCTGCTCTGGGTCTTGATTATAATAAGATTGATGCATGTCCGAATGAATGTATTTTGTACCATAAAGCCAATAAAGACCTTCAAGAGTGTCTGACATGTGGAGTTTCTAGGTGGAAGCAACACACAAATTCTTCAACAAGGATTACAACGGAGACAGAGATAACACAGAAGAAAATTCCAACGAAGGTGCTTCGACATTTTCCATTAGCTCCTAGATTGTGAAGATTGTACATGAACAAGGAAATGACAAAGAATATGAGGTGGCACAAGGAAGATTGAGTAGATGATGGTAAATTAAGACATCCTACTGATGCTTTAGCTTGGAAGCGTGTTGATAAAATTTATCCTCATTTTGCCGAAGATTGCAGAAATGTAAGACTGGGTCTATCAAGCGATGGATTCAATCCATTTGGGGTAATGAGCTCTGGCTGGTCTACGTGATCAGTTGTATTAATGCCATATAGTTTATCTCTATTGCTTTGTATGAAACAATCGTTTATAATACTTTCATTACTGATACCCGGTAAGCATGCACTGGGAAATGATATTGATGTCTACTTAGAGCCTCTAATTGATGAGCTGAAACAATTATGGTCTGAGGGTATTTTAGCATATGATACCCATTTAAAAGAGTCGTTTAGATTATGTGTTATTCTATTATGGACGATTAATGATTTTCCAGCTTATGCTAATCTGTCCGGGTACTCTACGAAGGACAAGTATGCTTGTCCTGTATGTGGTCCGAAATTTGAAGCTCTTCAATTACCACATAGCCGAAAGAGTTGTTATTGGTTTAATCGAAGGTGGTTGCCCTTGAGTCATAAGTATAGGAAATTATTAGCTATGTTTGATGGCACAGTTGAGAAGAGAATGAAGCCGTGTTAGCTGACAGGTAATGAGATCGTAAAATTACTTGAGGGGTTTCCAAAAATTATGTTTGGAAAAAATCACTATTCTAAATTTAACCCGCTCGGAGTAAGAGATTACTTAAAGTTAAAAAAGCCATTGAAGCATAAGCGAAAGGCCCGAAAAATGCAAGTTGAGGACAAAGCCGAAAAATTACCTAGAGGATGGACTAAATTTAGTATCTTTTTTCAGCTACCTTACTAGTAAAATCTTAAAATTCAATACAACTTAGATGTCATACATATTGAGAAAAATATATATGATAATATAGTATCAACTCTCCTACAAGATACAAACTAGTCGAAGGATGACCTACGGGCGAGCCAAGATCTGACTACTTTGAATATCCGAAATGATTTGCAAGCTCAAGATGTTGGCCTTAAAAAATTAAAGTTACCTCCATCTCATGTTACAATGTCAAATGAGCAGATGTAACGATTTTATAAAATTCTCAAATCGGTAAAGTCGTCGGATGGTTACTCAGCTAACATTTCAAATAATGTCCAGGTGCAAGAGAGAAAACTCTTAGGTCTGAAGACCCATGATTATCACGTTCTTCTCCATTAATTTCTCCCTGTTGCAATCCGTAACAATATGGAGAAAGAAGCGTCGAAGATTATTATTGAGTATTATGGATTCTTCAGAAAATTATGCTTTAAAGTCATAGATGTAGATGAATTTAAAAAACTTGAAGCTGAGGTCCGAGTTACTCTATGCAATATGAAAGTAATATTCCCTCCTTTATTTTTTATAATTATGGTCCATCTTACACAGCATCTTGCAAGAGAGGCTAGAATCGTCAGTCCTG